ATTATTTATGTTGAAATAGTCTTCCTAAGTAAAATATATTTGGGCCTATGTAGTTGCTCTAAAACGTATCTCACGAGAAGTGTTTCTTTACCCCAAAGTAGACACGATCTTTTGTAGACTTGTGTTTTTCCACTTTTTTGTCCAATTTATTCTGACGCTTACGTCATTCATATTTGCTTCCATATTTTTTTTCAATTTTATTGCAAGATTTAATTTGATACGAGCCAGTCCATTGTAAATTTAAATGCTGTTTTTAATAGTTTGAAGCTAACGTATAACTCAAATAAAGGCTATTTTATTTGAAGTAAAGTTTATTTGGATTTACAGAATTAATAAAGGGCACAATACGGGACTCTTAAGTTTCCTAACAGCTGAATTGCATTGGCGCTTTGTACGAAAGTATACAAGTCAGATGAGCAGGACGAGCCGAAATGAAGAGAAAGCAGAGCGGCGAATTTTGGGGTTTCCGACAATATTATTTCCTAGGCTCCAAATGTAAAAAAAGGAGCAATGCAGCTTTGCAGAAGACCCCGTAGCAAAGAAAAAAGTCGCAATTAGATCATGATTCCTGTTTCAATGCAAGATCCAAACCTTTTATTGAATGCAAAATTGAAAATTAAAGAAATTCTGGAATACTATAATTTCGACCAGAGGCAAACCAGACAAAATCTCTGCTTGTTAGTCGAATAAGAAACTGAAAACTCCTTCAGCTTAAGCTTTCATTTGGCACGGATTTGAGAAATATTTCACAAAATAATAGCTAAACGATAAACTAAGCGTGATTTATGATAATTAGAATTGAAAAAGCTTTTCTTATTTAATTACGACCGAATGAATTATAATCCAACTCTTCAGACTATTGCTAAAACTGGAAAACTGTAAATTGAGCTAATATTTATGTATAAAAAATCTGTGCCTAAATTCACAAAGTTTTCTTGGCATATCTCATCAAAGTTGCGCATCACTGCAGGCTAAATTGTAATAGTAATTATGCAGTATTTTACTAAAACAAGTAATTAAGATGAATATTATGCACTTTTATTATATAAATGAAGGTTTTTTGCCATACTTAGTAGAGAAATAAAGATAATTATAATATGTATACCCATACTATTTAGCACCTATCAGGTGAGTCAGGTTATAGAAATGAGGGGTTTTGGGCAAACATATCTCAGTTTAGAACCAAAAGATATACTCAAATGACAGCAGGATGAGTAGGTTTGTGCCACCAAGAGTTCTATTGACAAGGATCTCTTGGAATCTGGGCTTTAAATGAGATCAGACTAGGTGAATAGGATCAAGGAAAAACGGATCAACACTTATCTCCTCATTCAAATTGAGGCGAGGACGGATGGAGCAAGGGAACCATCTTCTCAGATAAATTGGGCGGATCTAGCAGATCTTGGACTAAAAATACACGAAGCGCCCATCCAATTGACTTCAACACTCTTTATCATTATTCAGCTTGACTTTGACTAAGTTGTTTCGTCACAAATCAAGTGCACAATTGCAGGCAATCTTGTGAGGTATTCTTTAAAGTTGTTTCAGACCTCAGAAGTTACTCGATACACAATCAGGATCATTTTTATGGCTAAAATTTGTGCAAGCTTTCCGCTTTATCAAAATTGCGACCATGTTGCCTACGATTATCTGAATTTAAGGCAATTTTAATCTAATAATTAACATTCGAACTTGCTTTTTTATGCCCAGAGGTAAGCACATTGTCGAAGTACTAATAAAGTAGCGGAAAAGATGCAAAATAGCACAGTTTATCATCGGATTAACGCTTAAATTGAGTTTCAGGAATTAGCCATTTTTGTCTTGGCCAAAAGGGGCAGTACTACTATTCGTGGGATAATAGTAGTATCTAGGATGTACGAATATGTAAGTCTATATTTCATCGAACTTATGTCTGTGAATCAGGAGTCTCGCTAAAAGTAGTGATAAAGTGTAAGAGCAAGATGTAGGAGAGCAGAAGGCTCGCAACCTTTGACATTTACACAATTTTATGAGTCCGTTGAAGTGCACTGCCTTGCCGGGGTTCTCTTCCTCGACACGGACGACTGCACCTCGGCTTCTCAGGTCACTCAGACGGAACGGACAGAGTCGAGGTCCGACTGGAGTCTCAGTGTGTGGAGAAGAAGAGCTCGTCAGGGAGACGACAATTTCGTGGTGGCCTGTCGTGTTGCCCGACGTGCGTCACTTCGTGTGTGCGGTCACAGGCCTACAGCGAGCCCTGAGACCGGTCATTTAAAGAGATAGACTCTTACGCGTCTGCCCATTTTGGCCATTTCCGCTTCGGTCTAACTGGCTCCGGTTGCCAGTCTCGGCATGAGTGAAGCTGGTAACCGGAACCACCTCGCAATAGAGATGGACACGATGTGAAATGAGCGTCAGATTGGTCCCGGCTAGCTCGCTAAAATCATAAGTGAAGGGATGAAATCAGTCTCAAGTGAAAACTTCCGGTGAAGGTATCCTCCAGAACACGACTGTGGATGTCTGTTGCTCTGGTCTTTAGGCGAAACAGCCAAATAATCCAGTCATCCTTCACTTGTACACAAAATTAGCGCCCCCACAACTCTTCCATTTCCGGAGATTCGCCGCAAGATCAATCGATTCTGTACCATTGGGCCACAGAATGGTATGAATTCCTCCAGCGATTGACAGAGGCCACACTAATGCACACACACTTACTTACACCAATATGCATACACACATGCAAATGCTCAGTAGTGCAGGTTACTGGACAACAGAAGATAAAAGTATATGAATTGTGTTCACCCTATTTCGTTTAAGGTGATGTATCAATGGTAGTTGGTTTTTCCCACAATGACATGAGTAGAGCTTATGTTTTCCATTGTATATAATATAAAATTATATAAACTCTTATATATATTATAATAGCAATTTTAAGTTTGCTTCATCGACAATCCCAACACAATTGTGATATGGGAGTCATTTTATAATCATATTTTTAGCCTGTCAGCAAAATGTTTAGACAATTCGTACAGTTAATATTAGCACATATATGCTGAGTTCTCTCGTATTACTAACATTTTTCGCTACCATTTGCTCCCTGTGTGGCCGATTGAAACAGGACAATGCCATAAGACTTGAACTGAGTGTTCTTTATCCTTTTAACACCTTTTATGAATCAAGTTGTAATCTGACCAGGTAGGCTACCGTTAACATCAAGTTTTAATCGGAAGTTTTTGCATAAATTTTAATTCGTCAAATTAATAAACTAAAATCCATATTAGCCGTTAGGCTAAAAGAATGTAGAATAGAATGTCGAAAATTCTATCTTTCGTAAGTGGATGTTCAAAAAGTCCCATTTCTCCAAAATTGCGTACCTCTTCAATAAACGACTCCTGCAAGAAACGGCAAATGTCAACTCGCTGTTGGAAACCGTCCTGCCCTGAAAAGTCTAGCGGCTACTCGGTATACTTAAAATGTTTTCCACCAACTCTGGCAAAGTTCTCCATAAGAAAAATAATGCTATTCAACTTTTCCTCGCCCACTTTCATCTGATCACGACCAATTAGAATGTACCACTGGTTGTGGTTTCCGCTTTGCTTGTTTGCATAAATATCAATTAGTCCAACGGTCATAAATTGCCTGCCGACTCTCATTAACGAGACGAGGGAGTGCACAAGACCCAGCAGAAGACTAAAAACTCCAACTCGGCTTTACTGTTCCCCAGCATAATGGCGCATGGTAACTGGAGGAGAGGGGCACCGCAAGTGGCCGGCCAGGCGGCCTGGCCTGCAGAATGGTGATTAGGCGGCGGGGGTCTTGCTTGCTCCCTTGGTAAGGTATCACATCAGATTTATGTGAAATTACTATCTCCAATATATACTACCGCTTGGTTTGCTAGAGTAGACTGGAAATGACTCGTAAGTAGGACGTCTACGACTCACGCATAATGAAGGAAGTGAAGACTCGCCCTGTCTGCACATTCCATCC